ACTGAAAGGTGAAAGTTGGGGTTCAGTATCTTTTACTGAGAGAAAATTAAAATGAAGTAGTGAGATTGAACAAACAAGTTTGAGAGAGAGAGAAGAGGTTTTGTGGCAGACTGCCTCGCCTCCCTTCGAGGTATTACCCCGAGCTTCACAGGTGCACAGTAGCCACATAGCCCCAGGGAAAAGGGGAAATACATAATAAATGCGCAAAATTATTTACAAGTATTTACAGCTATTTACAAAATTTACGGGACAAAACTCCGTCGGATAGGAAAAAGGCGGTTGCCGGGCTATATTTTATGTTGTCTTTGATGAGCTCAAAATCAAAATTTTTGAAGTAATTGCACGTATGACAAGAGAGTGCATCTCTGAAGAAACTTGCACATAGTTCAGCTATGTGCTCATCTATTTTGTTGATTTTTAACTCTCGTCTTAGATCTTTCATTCTCATGGATCTGGGGGCTCCTGTGATATATCTGAGGAATTTATTTTGAGTAATCTCCAGTTTCTTTTTTTGACTAACAGTGGTTGTGCTCCATGCAGGGGCTGCGTAGCTGATGATCGGTCGAATGCATTGGAGGTATAGGGTTCGTTTTGTTTTGAGTGATAGTTTTGAATTATAGTTTAATATTGGTTTCAGAGATCTATAGGCTCCTTGCGCTTTGCTAATAATATTTTCAATATGGGTATTCCAGTTTAAAGAACTAGTAAGAGTGACGCCTAGTTGAAAGAATTAGAACCAAGTGGCTTTACATATGAACTTTTGAATAATTTATATGAAGTGGTGTGGAAAATAAGTTTAAATGAATAAAAAATAATACATTAACACGTCCACGCCGGGGTGACCCACCGGTGGGTCATGCTAGATTGTCCCATCTTGGCAGCGCACCGGAGTAAAAACTGGTAACAATTAATTTCATTTTTTAGCTTTTTTCCGGGAATAATAAAAATCCATAAATACCAATTGTTTTTAACGGATGCAATTTTTATATAGAATTGCTTCTTCGTCGTGATAAATTTCCTTACAGTGAATTGTTATTGTTGAGAATAAATTAGCTCCTCCCGAATATTATCTAATATTGAAATAGTTCTTCTACCAGTATTTTCACTTTTCCCGGCGTGAACGTGCTAAAACGCTAACTTAGCTAACATTAAAATAAATTTTTACGAAAAGCATTGGAAGTTGGCAGCCCGGTATATAGTTCGTTAATGCTGAGAATTAATACCTGAACATAGATAGATAAAAAGTAACGCACCATAAAATGTACAATTAATAGTAAACAGGCACATTCAAGATAAAATCGATTACTTTCATAGAAATCATAGAAACAAACACCGGATTTTGACTAATAATACTATTTTTTGAAATGTTGTCACAGGTAGTACTTCAAATATAATTCCCACTAAATTATTTGAAAAATTAAATGTCCAAAAATAACGAAAAAACTTTGTTGAGGTAAAACAAACAAAATGTATTTTGCAAATCAACTAAACTTGCACTTTAATTCTAAAATTAGAAACGGAGCTAAATCAGTCTTTCTTTCTTTATGTTTCTTATTTTCTTTCTCTTTTTATCTTAAAATCTTAAATACTGATTTACCTAACGCAATATAAGGTTTGAAAGCTTTTATTGCGTTTCGATTTGTAATTGATTGTGGGAAACAGATGGTAATACAAAATAGGAAGAACTTGATCACTTTTTCCCTGATTATAAAAGGGTCCTGTTATTACACATTTTTCCAGAAACCTGGGTTAGAGGTAGCAATAATGATAAAAGAAAATTTACTTCAAAAATAACGTTCGGGAATGTAAAAATAAGGAAAAGATTTTATGTTAAATAAAAATCAAATAACACTAGTGTTATTTGATTTTATTTCAAGAGAATTGTTTGAAGTTATTTGAAGGAAATGTTAAAGGAAATGAAGTTTTAGACATAAAAGTAAAAAAAATGTAAACAAAGTAAATTTAAAGAAAATTAAAATCGAAAATGAATTGAAAAATAAAGATTTAAATAGTAAAACTGAAAATGAACTGGAATTTTCAAATATTCTAGGAACAGATTATGGTGAGGAGACGCCACATTACTAAAATCATGTTGACAGAAAGTTCAAGACAGTGAAAAAAATTTACCCACTGCGGGAAATTTAACGAGATTTTTCAGATATTCTTACTGAATATAAATATGATGCTGGAACAATCAAATCCTCAAATGGTAAGATTAACATCAGATTTTAACATCAGAGCAAATTTTTTAAGAGCATGTAAAACTTCCCCCAAACAATAGGCAGAAATCGACAAGCAAATTGAAAAATTAATGAAGCCTAACATTTAAAAAAAGCTGTCCTCTCTACTTGGCTCCAGTAACTTGACATATAAGGTTAACTCCGGTAACTTAGGTTTTAAAAAAGATTGAAATAAATCAAGTAACTTAAAAAATTAAATCGTCCACTAAAATTAGGCAATGAAGAAATATTTACCAATTTATATATGCATGAATATAAATGTAATGAAAATAAAAATGTCATGAAATTGCTTTGAATAGTGAAATTGTTTTTAATATTGAAATTGTTTTGAATAGTTAACTAAACGTAAATAAGGACCATGCATAATTTTCAATGACCATAAAATGCAAAAATTTCTGATGTTTATTATAAAATAAATCAAAAGAATATTCATAATAATGAAAATACAAAATAGTTCATGTATCAAAACTGCGAAGATTTCCTGACAAATTAAAATTATCCCATAAAGAAGAACAAATTTAATAATTTTAAAGCTTATTAATAAAATTAAATTAACTCTTAAGTAATATTTATTGTTTTTTGAAAAATTTATTTTCTAAAAATAGTACTGACCTTATCATAACATGATTCATATGAACATGTTTCTGGAAGATCGAACCCTTCAAATTCAGCTGCAAAACATTGACGTTTACCCACATCTGACAAAGAAATGGGATGAAGTTTATATTTTCTTCTCTCTGTTTGCGAGGACAAAACAAATAGAAGAAAAAAAATTATAACATGTCTGATTTTTGAAATGAGGATCTTCCTGTTCAAAAATGTAGAGATTCGGGACAGTTCTCCTGTTAAGGATTACAGCCCCATAACCAGAAAATATGAACCTTAAAAATACCGAAGTCCTGAACGTCAGAATAAGGACCGTTGTGACATTTAAAAAAATATTAACAAAATTAAAGTCTTTAACTTCAGATTGAAAGGTTTTCTTGTAACAGCATGTGTCTGTTATTCACGTTTTTCATGTCTCATGATTTAAAATTTTCTGTTTTAAATGAAAAACTTGAAAGATGTGAAGATGAACAATTATATTTAGTAAAAAAGCTCTCATGCACTTCAAGAAAATGACTTTGGGCAAATTGAGAAAGAAAAAAAAAACTATAATTTTTTTAATAAATTTTCAATTTAAAAATAGCCCATCAAACATTTGTCTGCGGCATTTCTATTGAGTTTCGCGAAGTTAAGTTGTTTACCATTCATATCACTTCTAAATATTGCGTGTATGTTGATAATACAAATTTTTATTGTCTTTTCATGTTAATTGCGCTTCTCAAATGAGAAAATTTGCAAGAAAATTACAAAATTTTAAAATTTATTAGATTGTAATTCACTTTTCATGGGAGGGAGCTTTAATACGAAAAACTTTAATAAATCTTTTAAATATTATTTTTTTATTTTAATCCTCTTTCGTAATTCATTATTTAAAAAAATCCATTTACATAATTAATAATTCACGTTCTGTTTTAAAAATACATTAAGGAAGGCAAAGTCGACAATATTCAGTTTTTTCTTTAACGAACTTAAGAATCTGAGAAGTCTCTCGACCTATTTTCCTAACGAATTATAATTCATAATGTTTCCCTTTTTTCCTTAGGACTTGCGAAGATTTTCTTTAACATTAAAGAGTCAAGGTCAAGCACGTCGATTATGTATTATTTTCTCTCTACACCAGAAAAAAAAAATAACATAAAATTATATCAGAAAGTTCAAGACA